GTGTGTCAAGTGAGGGTCTTGTGATAGGTCATGTGTGAGTCATCAGAGAAAGACTTATGGTGGGTCTTGTGATGAGGAGGTTACATCAGGTCAGGGTCATTGGAAGGAGAACTGGGGGGGAGAGAGGGCTTGCATGGGTTGATTGAGGGTCAGTGCTATCTCTGGTTGGCTGTGTGGTTGATTTGGATTCTAAGGGGTTCGTAGGCTGGCTGTAGGTCAATGTGTTTGTTGATGGAATTGCTTGTGGAGTGCCAGGCTTCGATGAACTCACAGACATGATGGGTGGTAACATGGCTGATGGTTTTAGTGTTGCTCCAATCGAACTGGGGCTATTTATGTTGGTGTGGATAGAGATGAAGGATTCGGAATCAGGGTGTTTGACTGCCATCCGGTGTTTGTGGATCCTGGTTTTTAATTGATGTGATGTTTGTCCCACGTAGAATTGGTTGCAATTGTTACAGTTGATTTTGCAGATTTCATTGTTTCTTTCATCCTTCTGGTCTTGTCTTGGGTTCTGGTGCAATGTGGCTGTGGGTTTGTGGACTATTGTTATTCCTAGGGGTTGGAGAATTCTGGCTGTCATTTCCGACACCCCTTTTGAGTATGATAGGGTTAGTTTCTGCATGGCAGTCAGCTATGTGGTGTGGTTTGGGTGTTGTGCATTGGAATATGAAGTTTTTTTGGATAGCCATTATGGAGAAAGAAGTCAAGCAACCATTTCTCTTCTGCTTTTCTTAGTGTTGTGGTGCTGGCCCTTCTGAAGTATGTCCTGGCCCTTCTGAAGAGGGTGTGGACATAGCTTCTTTTGTGTGCGGTGGGGAGGTTGCTTGTGAAGCTGAGGATCTGGTCTGTGTGCCTAGATTTGCGGTAGACGTGGGTTTCCAGTTCTCCATTGTCCAGTATCATTATGTCGAGGTTGAGGAATGGGAGTCTGTTGTCTGTTTCCTCTTCACTTGAAAATTTGATCCCAGGAAATATGTTATTGAGTAGATGGTGTGTTTCTTCAATTTGGGAGCATTTGATGATGACAAAGTTGTCACGAATTTTGGTTGGATGGTGGGTAGAGCTATGGATTTGAGTCATTGCATGACTGCTCCTGCTATAAGGCCTGATATGGGTGATCCTATCGAGGTACCCTGTACTTGCTTGTACATTTGCTGTTGAACTTGAAATATGTATTGAGGCACAGATCAAGGAGTTTCATGATGATTTCTATGGACATGAAGTGTTCTGTAAAGGCATCATCTTTGTGGGTAGGGTGTTTGGTGAGTAGGTGGTGTATGGTTTGTTTAGCCAGGTCAATGTCAATCAATGTGAAGAGGGTGGTGACATCAAAGGAGACCATAATTTCTTCCTTGTTGATCTTGGTGTGTTTGATGCATTGGAGAAATTGTTCTGGGGAATTGATTAAGTAGGTTGAGTCATTGACCAGGTATCTGAGTTTGGTGATCTTCTCGTAGAACAGGTGAACATTCTTCAATTTAAAGTCTGAGTCACAATGACTAAGGTCAAGATTGGTGGACTTTGATTACCTCTCCATTGTTTCTTCGATGGGGGCTCTTTGTGATTCCTGTAGTGCCATATTTTGATGATCTTCCTTACCTGAGAATAAGTTCTTAGCCAGGACCATGACAGTATTTCTCAGCCAGGAACATCTCCTCACATTTTAAGCCTAGTGTTATAGGAAAAGTCAGCTGTGGGAAAAAGCCACCATCTGCCCTTTCATTGTGTAATTACAAAAATGCCTACTTCTATGATAACTTATCATTGTGACTTTGAAATCAATATCCAAAACTCCCTTGACGGCCATGCAGTTCAAAAATGCATAAATATTATTGTTTTATTTATTAGCAATGGATTTACTATAGTCAACACCTCTGCAATCAATTCACAGCATCAAACTGCTTCTTTCCCAAATATTCCAAATCCCTTTCTTCACTCCAAATCATTTATGTGATGATGTGTTATATCATCCCAGGGGTTTTTGCCTTTCCACACTTTTCTTTCAGCTTTTCTTTTTATTTTGTTGCCTCTAAAAGAGCCTTAATCTCCTTTCATTACCAACGCATACAATAAACTATGATAATAATACTTCCTTTATCTCTGCTTTTCATTATCTTTATCTTTAATTGTGTTGAAAGATGATTAACAATCAGGAGAACATTATATGCTGTGTTGGGAAGCAGTCACTTTATGGGGAATCATGCAAAGAGAGATGCTTTTATCTTAGAGAGTAAAATTGTCTCATGTCATTGGAAGCTCAAATGCAGAACATAAATTAAATAGCACTTCTGAATCCCTTTCTCCAAAGTTACTATTGGCAGACAGATAATACCGATCATTGTGCAATGGGGTGAGAACCTGTCTTTGCTTAGCTCCTGCCCACCTAGCAGTTTGAAAGCATGCAGATGAGACTAGATAAATATGTACCACTTCAATGGGGAAGAAACAGCACTTTGTGACATCATGCTGGCCACATAACTGGGGAAATAGAGATGACACCACCCTCCATAGTCAATAATGACTAATGGAGTAAAATCCACAGGGACTCCTTCTCAATCCCATTTTCCAAAATTACTATTGGCAGACAGATATTACAAACAGTATATAACTGTTCTGAACAGAAATCATTGGCTTTGTCAGAAGTCAGCTGGGAATGTCACAGATGGCAGTCACATGACTCCAGGATGTTGCAAATACCATAGATATATGCCAGTTGCTAAGTGCCCAAATCCTGATCACATGACTGTGATCAATGGCTATAAGTGCAAAAACCAGTAGTAAATCACTTTTTTTTCCAGTGCTGTTGTAACTGTGAATGGTTCCTAAATGAATGGTTGTAAGTTGAAGTCTATCTGCATATGTTTTTCTTTTAAAAAATGCTAAATATCTCTTCTATGTGCTTTACTGTCATGATCTGATGATCATTTTTTTGTGGGCCATCAGATTTTACTGTACCCCTATGGACTATTTACACTTAACACATCAGGTGGGAAATCCAAAACACTGCTATCTCCTAAGGATAATTCAACCAACAATTAGCTCCCACCTATTCTTTGTCAATAGTTATTTTTTATTTATTTATGTATGTGTCACATTTGAAGGCCATCCACTTGGAATGACTCCATACAGATTTCAAACATAAAAAGACAATCAAAATCAAAACCATATGCACATTGAATCTATACCTCATCTTAACCCAACTACTAGAGAAAGAGACAGATTTTAGGGTCCATCTAAAAGATAGATTTTAGGGTTCATCTAAAATACAGCAGGGCTAGGACTCAGATCTGCTCAGATCTTTGGGAAGATGCTATTCCAGCAGCAGATGATCCAATGGATCACATGGCATTGCTAGACAGATATGAACTGAACCAATGCTGACTCTACCTATTGCAGGAGGGCCAGAGATTATAAGAGCAAGATGGTCCTACAGATAACAGACCCTTATGCCAGATGTTGAGACTCTAGAAAGAGTGCAGAGAAGAGCAACAAAGATGATCATGGGACTGGAGGCTAAAACATATAAAGAATGGTTACTGGAATTGGGTATGTCTAGTTGAATGAAAAGAAGGACTGGGACTGACATGATAACAGTTTTCCAATATCTCAGGGCTGCCACAAAGAAGAGGGAGTCAAACTATTCTCCAAAGCACCTGAAGACAGGACAAGAAGCAATGGATGGAAACTAATCAAGGAGAGAAGCAACCTAGAACTAAGAAGAAATTTCCTGAAAGTTGGAACAATTAATCAGTGGAATGACTTGCCTCCAGAAGTTATGAATATTCCAGCCTGGGAGATTTTAAGAAGAGATTGGACAACCATTTGTCTAAAATGGTATAGGGTTTCCTGCTTGAGCAAGGGATTGGACTAGATGACCTCCAACGTCCCTTCCAACTCCGTTATTCTATTCTATTCTATTCTATTCTATTCTATTCTATTCTATTCTATTCTATTCTATTCTATTCTATTCTATTCTATTCTATTCTATTCACCATTAAAATCTTTACAGGGGACAAGCAGCACCTAGGATTGTACTTGGAAGTCTAATGGTGCACAGTGCAGATTGTGTAGCAGAGGTGGTACATGGACACACAATAGCATACCCACAACAGCTCACATAACCACATTCTGGATCAGCTAAAAATGTCAAAGAGTCTTCATGGGCAGCCTCCATGTTACCAAGGCATGTTAGCACTAGATCAATACCATTTTTTATTCTTTCAAGCATTTTTTTAAAAAAGCATTTCAGTGCTTTTACCATGTTGCACTATTGTGCTAGTTTTGAATATACATTATCTTATTACTGCTATTACCATTGATAGTGCTAATTTTATATTTACATTGCCATTTTTCTCTATTGTATTATTTTGACTTTGTTGTTGTTGTTGTTGCTGTTAACATGTATATAGGCAGGTCACAGAATCAGGCATATACATAGATTTGTGATTGTATCCAAGAAAACAACTGCAATTTGGTTTCAGAATGCTAAGTTACACACTGGACCTTTTAGATGAAGATAATTAAGACAATTTGAGTTAAGAATAGACAGCCAAGCTGCATTTGGAAATGGAATCTACAGAAAATTACTTAAATTACCTACTCTACTTAATATCTTAGATGGGAACGTGGTATGAGATGGCAATTTAAAATGCTCAAGTTATTGACATGTAGAGCTGAAGAAGTAAGTCTCCATTGACAGGAGGACTGAATGCTTAAAATCCTTCCTTCCTTCCTTCCTTCCTTCCTTCCTTCCTTCCTTCCTTCCTTCCTTCCTTCCTTCCTTCCTTCCTTAAGATAGCTAATGCTTATGCATTTTGTTTGCACCCATTTTGGAGAAACTTAATGTTTTTTCATAAAGTCTGTTTTTTCATTCCATCATTTTGGCTATTAACCATTTGTCTTATCTCTACTCCAGAGGCTATGGGAGGGAGGGCACTGCTTACTTTCACAATTCTTCTCCTTTTCAAGCAATCCTTACCTTTATTTTCCTCTTGCAGTTTGTTGCCCATCCCAACTGTCAGCAACAATTGCTCACCATGTGGTATGAGAACCTCTCAGGCTTACGCCAGCAGTCAATTGCTGTGAAATTCTTGGCTGTCTTCGGAGTTTCCATAGGCCTTCCGTTCCTCGCCATAGCATACTGGATAGCTCCCTGCAGTAAGGTACAGATTGGTTAAGGTGCATGTTTGTTTATCATTATTTACCTATATGATATATCCCCGGCTTGATGAGAATGACAAGATCTTCAGTTCAATCGCAAATGAAAATTGTCTTATTAGAAGGTGCAACAGGCTTTTCAGTGGGGTGAGCGCAGATTAGACACAAATTAAGCAACTGCAAAATAGTTTTTAAAAGATAGGTAGATTGAAAAAAGAGGGTGGTGCTATTGCTGGTTTTATTATTTATTAGTCTTCGTGTGTGTAAGCAAATGTCCTTACAGGATTGAGAGATATTAATTGGGAAATGTTTAATTCAGTTCAATTCAGTTCAAAGTTTTAAACAGGATCTGAAGATTAAGAATTTCTTATTTAATTTCTTTAGAAAGTAGGTATTTTTAAATCTCCTTTTACATAAATAGTGAATTTTTCTGATCTTGCATGGTCAGTCTACACATTGCAAATCCGAGGCAAAGCTTTGTGGAGGCCTTTGAACTGGGGAGACGTGTGTTAAAAAAGGTTAAAAAATATTCAATTCTGGATTTCTGATTCATTCTCAGCCCTGTTTTAAATGTAGTGTGAGAGACAACTTAATGTTATCAAGGCTCCCCTTTAAGTTGTTGTTGGCTCTTCGTGACTACCTGGATTAGCAATTTTCCTTCCATTTTCTTGACAAAACTTCAGAAGTGGTTTGCAATTGCCTGATTCCTAGGACTTAGAGAAAGTTGCTGGCCCAAGGTCACCTAGCTGACTTTATGCCTATGGCAGAACTAGAACTCAGAGTCTCCCATTTTCTAGCCTGGTGTCATAATCACTATACCAAATTGGTGCGCACACTCTTTTCCTCTTTTAACCCTTTTCTAGGCTATAAAAATCTCCCTGGGAGCACTACATTGCCATAGGCCAGCACCTTCTTGGCTTCCATACAGAATAATAGGGCAATAATTGCTAGGCCTGGAAAAATATCAGCCTCGATTCTAATGATCTTGAAGATTCCAGAGTCAAAAGGAACAAGGTATAGTTTAGGCTTGCATGCCAAGATCTGAGACAACCTAGATTCAATTTGAGATGCTTCAAGATTCAATTAAAAAAAATATTCTTCCATAGGCTATTTTGGAGGGATGGTAAACTCTTTAGAGAGACTTAGCAATAGGCTTCAATAGGCTACTTTCAGTGGTTTAACTGTAATATATATATATTAATAATATATATATATATATATATATATATATATATATATATATATATATATATATATATATATATATATATATTCCTGGTGCATCTCTTTTAAGGCAGAGGTAGCAGGAATGTGATCTGGGTGGTATAGCAGCCTCTATATTGTCTGCCAAAGAGCCTAGATTGTCTGAAATGAATCCACAATTATCTTAATTGGTTTATATTAATGTTTAATGGTTTAAAATGAAAAAATAAACTGTAGTAAGAGGTTAAAAAAGGTAACAAGAAGAGATAAGAGGAAATTCAAAAGAAACTCAGAAAGTATTACTTCACAGAAAGAGTAGTGGAAGCTTGGAACCCATTTCCAGCTGAGGTAATTCATCAGTAGCTGAGTTTAAACATGCTTAGGATAAACATCATCAGCTTGCTGATAGTATTGGTTAGTTAGCAGAGGCAGGCTGGCAGAAATGCAGAGACATAGGCATGCCACAAAGAAAGAAGCTGAGAGGAAAATGGAATATGCATAGCCTCGCTGCTCCTTGTTAAAAATACCAAATGTTTAGTTCTGTGCTTGTTAGTCTGGCATCATCTTCTGGATTTACTAGAGATTCATCCTGGAGTACTAAATCATGCAGATTTTAAATATCAGATTTCACCCAAGAATTTGCAAAAAACGGCTGCAGAATTCTTTGAAAGTAGCTGAATTGCTTTCCTTACTTTGAAGCGTGAATCTGCTTCAAAAGGATGATTTGACCAAAGCTTCATCAAATTGTAGCACTTCTTCAAAGCTTGGGCTAGTTAAGGGAAGCTGTAATAACCTTTGAACACATTAAAAAGCCATCCTCACAGACACCATCAGGCTTTTGAACTGACACTGAGTGACATTTAATTATTTTGAAAGTTGCTCCTAAGCAGCTGGTATTTCTGAAAGTAAGTAAAGTTGATTTTCTTTCTTTTGGATAGTGGAAAATTCTACCACCAGAAAAACACATTTTTTCTATTTAGCATTCATTAAGACTTTTCTTCCCACAGCCTAACTTTTAAAACCTAACTGTAAGGGCCGAATACTGGGTCTATCAGTGAATAAACTACATACAATATGATGTAACATTTTAATTCTAACCTTTAATAGGTGGTAGAGATATTTCCAAATGCTCTTCTTGAATGGCTTAGCTCTGACTTTGGATACTAGTAATCCGGTTTTTAAAAGGTAATAATGCCCCTATTCTTATATATTCAAGCTCTGCACAGTTATCTGGACCTTTCTTGATGCTGTAGCACCTTCCACTGGAAGAAGACTTTCCTTTACTTTCTGGCACACTCAGTTCACTACCATTCTTTCCACACTATCAGATGAGATCTGGATTACTTCTTTACTATTGCTTTTTAAGGGTCGTGATGGCTCAGAAGATGGCTCAGCAAACTCAGATGGCAAGCTGACTGCCCAGGTTTGAGATCCAAGGGCTGCAAGACAGGGTGAGCTCTTATTACTTGCCCCAGCTCCTGCCCATCTAGCATGCAAATGCCACTGGATGAATAGGTACCAATTTGGTGGGAAGGTAACTGTTATGTCCCGAGCCTTGCAAACGGGCTCGGGGCGTTTGCAGGCAGTCCCGGGCAGGTGCAAGCTGCCCGGGACCAGACAGGCTGTCGCCAGCGCCTGTGCGCATGCGCGGGTGCTGGCGCGGGAAAAGTAACACATTTACCCGGGAACTGCCTATATAAGAGGCTAGGAGCTTTTGGGCGTTGCTGAAGCCTTCACTTGTAAGCTGAACACAGAATAAAAGGAAACCTGAGAACTACAACTGCTTCTCGCGTCTGCTTTTTGCCAAGGACTCAACACTGGCGACGAAGGTGGGATGCCTTACATCGCCTGGAAAGGAAGAGGTGTAAGCTTACCCAAGTGAGTCCTGAGCGGCGGAACGACGGAACGGCATTGACTCGGCAGCTACCCGCCAATCCAGTGCGCATTCGGGGGTAGGCTGGCTGATAGACCCGTCTCCTGAAATGGCAAAGGTTGGAAGGCTTTCGGAGTTCGACGTCTCACATCCAGAGCGGTGGGAGTCCTACGTAGCCAGGGTGGAAAATTACCTCAAGGTGAACCAAGTGAGGGAAGATAGCTTGAAGGCTGCCACCCTGCTTTGTGTCTGCGGTCAAGACGCCTTCGAAATCGCAGAGAACCTTGCAGCACCTGTCCCATTAGAGTCTGACAGCTACGCAGATCTAAAGAAGCTATTGAAGGAGCACTTCCAGCCCAAGATGTCCGTCATCGCATGGCGCCACACCATCGAGCAGAGGGATCAACGATCCGGAGAGTCGGCCAAAGAATACATCGCCGCATTGAGGAAGGCCGCCAAGCACTGCGAGTTCAAGGACCTCGAAGAACGACTGAGGGACCGATTCGTGTGCGGCTTAAGGCATCGAGATCTACAACAGAGGCTTTTCGCCAAAGAAGAATTGTCCTTCCAAGATGCCTTAAGAGAGGTCACCGCAGAAGAAGCAGCAGGCGGCGCCGTCAAAAACATGCGGCCGATCAGGAACAGTCCAGATGTTGCATCCGTGCACCAAGAGGACGTCCAAGGGAACTCCGAGGAGGATCCGGATGAGGAAGTCGACCGTCTCCACCCCACGAAGGAAGGGAATCAGAAAGGAAGCTCTGCAGTTCCCCTCAAGTGCATCGGCTGTGGAGGTCGCCACAGGAGAACCGACTGCAAGTTCCGCTCCGCTATCTGCCGGGCGTGCGGGAAACAAGGACATATTGCAGCTGTGTGTCTGGGCCGACGAAAGGTACAACCTCAGGAAGAACTGCGCCTGAAAGGTACCAGGGTCCCCAGCCAGAATAGGGTAGGTTTTTGCGCTTCGCGAAGAAGCATCTTCAGGACAGGCACACACAAGCCCATCAAGAAAAAGCTGTCACTCAAGGTGAAGCTACAAGGGGTTCCATTAACTATGGAACTAGACACGGGGTCTGCCCTTTCAATCATATCCTTACATACATTTAGGAAGATTTGTTCCGGCAGTGGAACTCAGGCTAAATTAAGGCCTTCAGACATTGTGTTAACAGACTTTCAAAATTCGAGAGTGTGTGTTAAGGGGGAGGCCACCCTTAACGTACAGTATAAGAATTTTGAAGGTCCACTAGACATATTAGTAGTAGGGGGTGAACGAACGAGTCTCATAGGACTCGATTGGTTTGAAGCCTTGGGGATACACGTCACGGGGCTCAACAGCTTACAAACACTCGACCTACAGGAAGTCTGCAAAGAATTTGCAGATGTCTTCAGCCCCCAGCTGGGCACATTCAAGGGACCTCCTGTGTCCTTAAAACTAGACCCCACTGTCACACCCATTAGAATTAAAGCAAGAAGGGTCCCTTTTGCTTTAAAGAGTAAAATTGACACTGAGTTAGACAAACTGATCCAACAGGGAATCCTAGAACCTGTTGATTCCAGCCCTTGGGAGACCCCCATTGTCACGCCTCTAAAGGCAAATGGGGACATTCGCATTTGTGCTGACTACAAATGCACTCTAATAAGGCATTGCAGCAACATGCCTATCCTGTTCCTGTGGTCAGTCATATTCTGGCCTCCCTCAAGGGGGGGCGCGTTTTTGCAAAGCTTGACCTAGCTCAAGCGTATCAACAGCTGCCTGTTGATGATGATGCTGCTATAGCTCAGACTATTGTGACCCACAGGGGAGCCTTTAAGGTAAAAAGGCTACAGTTTGGAGTGAATGTCGCTCCTGGGATTTTCCAAAGCGTAATGGAAAACACACTACGGGGCATACCGGGGGTTTGCCCCTACTTTGATGATGTCTTAATTGCAGGA